TTATACCTAAAACACAGTTATTCAGAATTATAGCTCTACAAGCAGTTATGTTAGCCATGACATCATTTATGTTACGGACTCTATTAAATAGAGTTGTAAGCCTAGATGCATTAATTTTCAAAAATTGTTGGTGTTGGGAAATAAAGCAATAGGATGAGTAACTAAACCGCTCAGTTTCCGTTTCCAGCTCATGTCCGACTTATAGAATATAAGTGGAAACCTTCATGGGAGAATTAATATCAACATTCCATGCGAAGCAACATATTTTCCAGCGAGTAATCTACCTACGCTATGGGAGGTTTAGTATCCTGCATATGCACAGACTTGTGCAAGTTTCAGGAGGCACTTAGTTAATGGATTATTTCCTCTGCAGCTCTTTAGTATATCTTGATAATGCTAGCCGAAGACTTGCAGGCAGTTATCATTTTGACACTATGAGCATCGAACCAGTTAAGGTATTCCTTGACCACTCTCAGCATCGCAACAGGTTGCTTTGGGTGTTAGAGTATGACTTGATATTATCACTCTTCCCTTTCTTGGCGAGGAAGTTCGCAGCTAAAAGGGAATTAAGAATTCATCAAGGTTGCTAACAATGCATTTAAAAGTTGTAAACCGACCACAGTGTACCTAAATCGCAATTATAAGGTCCCATTTAGATAAGTCAGTATCACTAGCCTACTTTTTAGGATTCTAGTTTGGGATCAAATTTTTGTTTGATCGGTGTTTGGCCAAAAGTTTGATATCATATTTTATAAATTAGAAAAACGAGGAGAACAGCTGGTTTTCGTTCGTTGTTAAGGGTCCAAACCACGAGGAATGTAACTTATCGAGGCGTTGCGCGGATCTGTACGGATCAGGTCCGGCGATTAGACTCTACCCGTTCTCCGAGTCGACATGACCTTAATCAAAAATATATTTCGATTTAATGATTTTAATTTTAAAGTTTCAAAACATATTTTTTGCAATAATCAATTATGAATATATAGTTAATATAAAAAAAATTTTAATTCGAGATGTTTAGGAATCATTTTTTAAAAATCAAAGATTTTTGTTTTTCAAATCTCGAAGAGTTCATAAAAATTAGATTCGGCCATTTTTTCTTTGTTGCTTTAGATTTTATTGGCAAATTATATGTTTTCCAATATTATATATGACTTAATTAATAAATTTATATAAAAATATATAATTTATTTATTTTTAATTTTGCAATAAGTTTTAAAAGAAAAAGTTCAATATATATATATATATATTTTTATTCTTTCGGCCTTCTAATTTTGCTTGCTTTTTTGTTCTTTCCATAAAAAAAAGAATTTGTTGTCACTTTATTAAGCTTTTATGAAATCAAAAATTCGAATATTAAAAAATAAGATAAATATACATTGCTTTTGAAGTAAGCAATTGTATTAAATCACTTCATTCAAAGCTTTATTAATTAAAAAATTCTTAAAAAAAAATATACTTTGCTTTGAAGTAAGTATAAGTGTATCCTTTCCATTTAAATAAAAAAGGCTTAATGTATAATTTGGAATTGAAATAGGGAATAAAACATAAACCTTTTGACCGCTTAAGTTTTTTTTTTGGCAATCTGATATCTATGTAATATTGCACTTTAATTTTATATTATCCGAACCCTTTGGTAGTGTTGTTAAACAGCTCGGTTTGAGACGATTTTTAAAAAACGGCTGACTTAATATTTTAGCCAGAAAAATATTGCCTAAGCCTCGAGAATTCGCTAATAGATATATCCTAACCTTAGTTCCTTCTATGAGCAAAATCTTCAGGCTTGCGCAATATTATTCTAGATGAAATATTGAGTTAGCCGTTTTTAAAAATCGCCTCAAAACGAGCCTTTTAGCAACACTACCCTTTGGCCAAAAAAACGCCTACGTCCAAATTCGACGCGATTCGTGTCTGTGGCCCTTCTCGAATTTATGATATAAAGACAGCAAGGTAAAAAACGTTAACTAGCGGAGCTATTAAAAATTTACTTAATTTTATGAAAATTGTGTTTTTTTTTTCACGGATTTTCTCTTCCGCCGATCTAATAAATTTTCTTCACCAATCGATGCGCGACTAATTTGATATTCTTCCATAGGTTTGGGCCGATATTTGATTATTTATAATATTCCGTGCAGGAACCTTGAGGTGGTGTTGTCAAAATATCCGATTAAGATTTTAGCCCAAAAATAATATTATGTAAAGCCTCAAGATTTAGCAAGATAAATGTCCTTAGCTTTACATAATTCTATTTCGATTATAACCTTAATCGGGCAGTTTGACCATCTACCTTGAGGACTATTTTTTAAATATTCGTACCGGACCTCAACACAGCGCGAACCCGCACCCAACGGATATTAAATTACGTCCGAACTGGATCTTATTTTGTTTTTTTTTCTATACTGTCCTAACTCGATTGACGTTTTCCAGTTTTTTGGCCAGTGGACCCGTTTGGACCGAACCTAATTTTTAAGAAACTTTCCCAACCCGAACTTTTATCGAACCTTGGTTTCGGGCCCAGGCCTTGGATCGGGCCTTTTAGGATTCTAATAATAGATTCTAGTATTTGAATAATTTTTTAAGATTAATTTTAGCTCCTTTTAAGGCGCATCGTGACTAGTGTTGTTGTTCGATTTGAGCCCCCTTTTTTTTAAAAAAAAAAAGCTGACTCAATGTTTTTATAGTTTTATCCAGAAAAATAAATATTACGTAGGCTCGAATATTTTGAAATGGAGCAAAGGTTTGGACACCCATCAGAGAAATCTCGAGGCTTACTTAGGGCGATATTTTTCTGGTTAAAAATATTGAGTTTTCAATTTTTTTTTGGTCAAAAGTAAAGTTACTTTTCGATCAGTCCTATACTAGATTGGGAAAAGGGACATACTATGACTAGGTGATTTAAAATTTTTTTTTGTTGTTGTAAACTACCTATCAAAAAACTATAGTTCGAAAATTTTGGAACGAAGCGAGGAAAACTCTTAAACGGTCACGAAAGTTCATTTTTTGTAAAATTTATCGATAAAGTTGTCATTTGTCAAGGAATCGTTTTTTTTTGTGGTGTTTAATAATAATAATGAAAAGTAGGGAGCATCGTAATTTTATAATTTAATATATTTTTTTTAAAAAAACTTTTTCATTTTGAATAGACATCGATAAATTGAAGATGTATTCACATTGTGGAGTGTCATTTATTAAAAAATTTTAATAGCGTCCAGAGGCTTCTACCCAAGCTCCCTAAAACAATTACTTTTCCACCCTCTAAATTTTTTAGCCTCCCCACCAACCCCCCTATCAAATCAAATTTAACCCCTCCTCCCCCCCTCAATAGCATCTTCATAATTATATATTCCCCAAAATTAAACATAATAATTATCAATTTTATTGTGGCCTTTAATATACATAAACATATCTAAAAAAAATATACAATATTTCTCATAAAATATATAAAAAATAAATTAAAACTAATTAAAACTAATTAAAATTTTTAAAATAAAATATATTAAATATAAAAAATAATTTTCTAGTATATTTTCTAGTCCAAGCCTGTATTTCAAATTTGTATAAGTACTAGGGTAAAAGAGGAAACCATTTTTTCCACAAAAAGCGTGTTGATTGAAGATTATTTTAGTATTCATTTACCCAACAAAAATTCGATTTCAGGATTCTCCTCCAATCAAGATTTGGGACAATGTTTAATATAAAAGACAAAAACCTTTACTAAACGTTTTTTTGAGTTGTTATTTTTAAATTTAATCATTAATTACCAGGTGCGCCAGTAATTTACCATCTGATTCGATGAATTTTTTTTTTGCAATACATTCAAGGATCTTTTGATAGAAATTACTGTTTTAAAAAAAAGATATTTAGAAAGCGATATTTGTAACTTTTTTTTTTGGAGTTTCCACATTTTGCACGTTATTTGTTAGTGTGTTGTTTCTAACCTTCACACTAGGATCCTCCAGAGATCAAAATGATTTTAAAGAAAGATTTAATATTTGTTCCTTTAAATTTTTTTTTAATACCAATTAAACTATTAAGAGTGGATTAAATATATACGAGAAACGCATCTATGAGTTAAAATTATTTCCAAAACCAGAATTTATACCAGGGGCCTGGGCCGGGCCGTAGTTTTAATTTTTTAAAATATACCTAGGTCGGGCCTAAGCCTGGCCTTATATTTAGAAACCGTATATATTCGAAATCGCTATTATTAGCTATAAAAATCAAAAATAAATATAATATATTTATTTAAAAATCCGGGCCGTGCCTGACCGTGCAAATGGTACCTCTGCAGGTCTCTGCCACGCATACCTAGTGTTGTTAAACGGCTCGTTTTGAGCCGATTTTTAAAAACGGCTAACTCAATATTTTATCCAGAGGAATACTACGCAAGCCCGAAAATTTTTCTCGTAGAAGGAACAAAGGTCTATACATATATGAACGAAATCTTGAGGCTTAGACAATATTTTTCTGGCTAAAATATTGAGTTAGCCGTTTTAAAAGATCGGCTCAAAACGAGCCTTTTAACAACACTACGCATACCCGTAAGTACGTTACCGATTATTAATGAGACCCTAGTAAAATGCTCAAAGTTTACCTTTTTACGTATTTGAAAATGAAATTATAAATGTATTCATCTTTAATCATGATATAAAAGGACTACACAAATAAGACGGTACAATATTTTAATTAAATCTTCGAGTTAAAACTTAGGCCATATAAAATTAAATGTTTTTTAAAATAAATTAATGATTTATTATACACCCCGGTATCCTCTAAAATGAAATTACGCAACATTCTAAGCAAAGCAAAATTCCATGAATTACCTTGAACTTTTGTTAGAACCCGCTCCAGAAACTGATTCCCATAAATATTAAATGGGTTCTGAAACAGATTCTCATAGATTTGTACTGGAACTCTGTAAGGCTTCATGTTTTGATGCTAATTAATCTATTATAATTCCAACTTAACGCAATCCATTTTTTACTCATTATTTATTATAGATGACAATAGGGTCTACTTCCCGGAAGGCAAAAATCTCGACGTCAAGAATGATTTGTACCTCTATGAAGTATGTCTAGCGTTTTTTTTCTTCTTTTGAATATTATTACATTTTTTTGGGGGGTCCTGGTCTACTTCTTTAGCGCCACGTTTAAAAACGCTTTCAATGTTAAGGGCTGACTTCCTGCCCCGCTTCCTTAACGCTGAGCCTTCTAAACGTAGCGTTAAAAAAGTAGATGCCAGACCCTAACACTAAAAAATCGGAGACCCTACGATAGCACCCTTTTAACCAATATCGAAATCGATACAAACACGGAATCGTCTGCGATTTTTCATTACTTCTTTTTGTAATAAAGTTTCTTATACCAGATGTTTTTTCATCGATTACAAATTTTTTTAAGAATAATATTGAGATAATTAAGGGTCTGGTTTTGGCAAACCCATACCCACCCCAAATTATAATTTTTTTATATTTTTAAATATATTAATTTTAAAAGAAAAACAAAAACTAAAAAAGGATTAAGAAGGCAAGTTAGCCATATTGTGTATTACTTAAAGATGATCGCCATCTTTTTTCTGGGGGGGGGTGGCTAAGACTATACCAAGGCAATCTATATAGGTTTTGAGATGTTGAACGTTGTATAGTTCTTAAAAAAAATTTTTTTTTACTTATTACTTTTAAAATATGAAATTCGGAATTGATACAGCTAAACAGACGATAAGATTTCTTAAATGTGCATAAGGCTCAAAAATATCCAATTTTATTTTTTTTCGGCTTTTGCTATCTTTTAACATTACGCGTTCGAACGCTCTGGTTATGGTCCTTAGTATTATATTGCCATTGGCCCAATGTTTAGTTTTATTTTGAAATCACGATTAACCCTTATATAAGGCCAATAGAAAGTTTACATGGCGCTTTAAGGGGATTAAGAAAGATATAGTATACGATGTAAATCACTACTCCTACAAAAAAAAACAGGAAGAGATGGAAGAGAAAATGCCGGCTACTTCAATCATATCTTCCCTCAACAATTACACGGCTTCCATACCTCCCAACACCAACGCCAGTTTTCAAGGGCCCGCAAATGGGGACATTGCCATAAAATCCCAATCGCTCAAAGTACATATATTTTACATATTTTTTTTTAAATTAGACGCTGCCGCAGAAAATCCGCCAAGCGTAAGAGACGCGGATTAATTTATTTATTCCTCTTTTTTTCAAAACTGAGCTATATCAAAGTGGCTTGAGCATTTCGATTTAGATTGGTATAAATTCGAAAGGCCGGCAGCCATTTTTAAAATAAATAGTAAAATAAATGATAGTCATCTAATTAGCTCAGAGGAGATGCCATTTTTATTTTTTAAAAAAGGAAGTAGATATAAAATTTAACTTGGAAATCGGAACAAATATTTATCGCCATTGTTTACTTCTTTAAATTCCTTCTCATGAATTGCTTTGTACTTGAACACAACTATTTTGAGACCCTAAAGCGGTAAATAGCCAGCATTCTAACCCGTATGTTCCGAAGTGCCTAATCCTCGTAAAAAAATATTTTCAATAGTCGGAGAAGTTGGGGATGTTGGGTATCTTATGAATTCAAGGGTCCAAAAATACCTTTTCACCGAACCCGAAAAAACGCTCAGTGAATGATATTCGATATAGAAAAAGAAAGAAAGCTCCCTTTTTTTTGTCAGCCCAAAATTATCTACTCAAGCCTCGGATTTTTTTGGCACGTATATATACGCTAAACTTTAGATGAAAGGGAACGTGCGCCTCTAGGGTTCGCGGATTTTCTTCAGCATTCACTTGCAGGAGTAAAATCCGCCATTTTTTTTGTTATCACCTACCTTGATAACCCTAACCATTAGGTCTCATTTAGTTAATTCGGCGAATTTTCATCTAAAATTTATCCCCTCAAAATGGGAATTCAATATTGACCATTCCGAATCTCCCCCTTTTTTTTTAAAAAAAAACCTTTTTGTCAGGGATTTATCGACATATCTTGTCAGGAACACGATCCGATATGGTCCCATTTTACCAATATTAAGTTGATATCGGCCAGAGAAGGAAATAAGAAATAATCAATAAAATTAATATAAATATAAAGGGGATAATAGGCTTATTTCAATTAGACCGTACCATAGATGTAGCCAGAATTATGGTAAGGGTAGGGGTAAACCAGGACTTTAGGTTCACTGGCTATAATACATTTTTGATATATAATATAAATTTTTGATGAGATGGGTGTGGGGTGTGTGTAAGAGGGGAGGGATCGATGAACTTTCTTTCTTTCTTTCTTTCTTTCTTTTTCTTTCTTTCTTTCTTTCTTTCTTTCTTTCTTTCTTTCTTTCTTTCTTTCTTTCTTTCTTTCTTTCTTTCTTTCTTTCTTTCTATGCATGCATCTAGCTACATCTTATTTATATATTTGTATACATATATATATGGATCAGGTAAATAAGTTGGGAACCGTGATGGGAGTATTCCTGCCTTGCATTCAAAACATCTTTGGGGTTATTTTATTCCTGCGTATGAATTGGATAGTCGGAATAGCCGGGGCATTTCAAGCTTTGCTAATCATACTCATATGTTGCAGCGTGGTACGATAATTAGTATATACGATTTTTTTTGAAAAAATGTATAAAAAAGTATTAAAACATGAATCACTCTATTTTTGATTATTGAGGATATGATAGATAATTTGCGCTTCTCACGTATAAGATAGCTAAATAGTGGGAGGAAAGTTATGATTTTTAGGAGTTTGTCGAGTAGAATTATGATTAGAAATATGCAAGTTAGGATATTAAAAAAAAACGCACTTATTTCCCGATTCAAAAGTGCGTCAAGTTATTTACAAAACATAGGACTGAGTTAATGTGTTCTATTAAAATCTTTAAAATAAATGCTTGATTTATTTTTACTCCTAGTGGATTTAAGATACAGCTAGCTGTTCTAACTTGATTGACACCATTTTCTTAAAATGTAAAAATAGCTATCGAAAACTTTTTTTTTACAAAAATAATATTATAATTTGCTTAAAATAAAGTGAGGAAAGAAGAAATTTAAAGCCCCCTAATATTTCGTCCACTTTTGAAATGAGGAAATAAATGTCACCAAATTATTTATATCCTCAAATATCTCTTTCTCGTCTTCTCAAAAAAACGAAGACCCTGATAACCGCGATATCGATGAGCGCAATCGCAACCAACGGGGTAGTGCCGGCGGGTGGTGCGTATTTCATGATATCCCGCTCCCTGGGCCCAGAATTTGGCGGAGCAGTGGGCTTCCTCTTCTACCTGGCTACCACGTTTGCTACCGCTATGTACACGATCGGGGCCGTCGAAATTTTACTGGTTTAAAAAAAAGAAAAAGACAACAATTAATTTTTTTATATAAATGATTAAGAAATGGGAGATGAGAGGAAAAGGATCAAGATCCATCTATACGAATTATTAATATTAACCGGTTGTCAGTAATGGTTGTCAGTTTTAATGCTTCAATACCATGGGCTGATACCGAATTATTCAAAACACCTTTAATACTTTTGTTGAATAAGGTTTGATGTAATTTCGCAAACGAGAAAGGAACTTATATCTTCTTGCAAAATATAAAATAAATAAATGAAAACAACATGGCTTACTTTGTAAGAATAATTTTGATAATTTTCTAGTAAATTTTTTGTTATAAGAAAAAAAATTTAATATTGGGATCACAGCTTATGATAATTTAATTATACTTATAATGAAAATATTATTCCTCCAGGTATATCTTGTTCCCTCCATCGCGATATTCAGTAATATGTACCACAATTTCAGGGTGTACGGGACCTGCTTCTTGGTTGTCATGACGTTGATCGTTATGGTACAAATATTTTTTCATAACCATTATATACTTATTTTTTTTTACTAATAACCTTTACTTTTCGTTGGCTCTTTAATCTATTTTTGACGTTTATGTTCTAGGTTGTTCGTTGGACAGCTCAAATCAAGAATTGATTAATGGCATACCCTGTGAATTCGCGGTTCTCGCGAAATAGCTGCCAGGTTATACAAAAAATACAGCATATTTTGTGTACTACGCCGCAAATTCGCGCTAACCATGAATTCGGGATCAAAAAAATAGTGTTGTCAAATCTAAAACGTTGAAAAAATGTGATCCGCTAACTCATTTAAGCGAGAGTTGATTTATTGCCCCCCCCCCCCCATCCTCTCGGCTTTCTTCGAGGTTGGGTCATTATTTAGTCTAAAACCGTTGTTGGTTTTCGGCTAAAAACTTGGCTTCACCTCTTTTAAAGTCAATTCGAAACCGGATATTAACTTACATGAATTTATATTCTAAAGGAATGTAACAATAATCTATTTACTTTATTAATCATTATATATATATATTAAAAATATGATTATAATAGGTGGGCGTTAAATTAGTCAATAAAATCGCCGCGATATCGCTGTTCTGCGTTTTGCTCTCCATTTTGGCCATTTACGTCGGAATTTTCGCTTATTTCCACGGAAATCCGAAAGTTCTGTAAGTTATATTCAATTCAGGTCTTGAGTTTAATTTAGTTTAATTAATCAAAATCTTAGTGGTTAAAATTAGTGTTGCCACATTTACCGGACTAAATAAACGGCCCGACACATGGGCAGTAAATATTTTGGTCTGACAAACGAGACAAATTATTTCATAAAATAACATCTTTATTTATTTAATAATTAAAAATGTAAATTGCTGAAGAAATTTTAAAATTGCGGGAGATTTCTAATTGCGGGAATTTTGAGGGAAGGAGATCTCTGGACTAAAAAATTTCGGGAGTCTCCCGCTGATGGTATGAGTGAGACCTGACAACCCTGATCATAGATATTGATAATAATGTTGTCATAGTTTGTAGCATATATTATAATGATATAATGCTCTCTTAGTCCCATAAGTATCTTTTTTCGAAATCGTATAGTTTCTTTTTTATACTGATTTGTTTAGAATTCGATATGGCACACCTTTTTTTTTGTTTAAAAGTCAATATGATACCCCTTACCAGCATACCTCCTTGAAATGGGCACAAATAGCTTCATCTCTCTTCTCTCCATGCTGTTTGAAATATTTAAAATTTTAAAATGAACAACTAGGCCAAAAAAAACGCCATTATAACTAATTGAATTAATTATTTTATTAGAACAATTTATTGGTTACTTTGATAATATTTATGGGGGGAAAAATAAAACTTGTCTAGAATTTGTATGATAGGGGATCAATTGATAAAGAAATCGTTATACGGCGATGATTCGATGTGCTATAAGATTGACGCTTATGGTAACTATTTTTGGTATTTATTTATTATACGCACGCATGAATGTATTGTAACTTGGATTATCAGTAGACACCACGCCAATCATTTTTGTTAAAACATTTAAAAACCGTAAAGTTATATGGTCGGAGGGAGATCCCGCAGAAGATTTTTTGGCCCTAACTTAATTTAGATTAGAAGTAGATAATTATCACGTGACGATGTTTATAAAAACAATGATTAGATTACTATTTTTAGCTAGACCCACGTAAATTTAATCTTAAAAAAAATGCAACCATTTTAAACGATGACGTCACTTAGATCATAATTTTTTTTAGACTTTAAATTTTGATTCAATCTAAAATAATAAATATAATATTATGTCACAAGGAAAATATAATCACAAAATGTGGGGAGGATTTTGTAAGAGGTACGACAATGTAACATCGAGCTTTGTCGGTTGCAGCGACTATTTCATCAATCACAATATCACCCAAAAAATGGGCATTCCTGGTTTGGGAAGCAAAGTCTTTTTGGGTAAGATTTTATGTGTTACATTTTAATCCTAATTCTATTTAAAATACTAATATTTTTAAAAAATATTCGGGCCGGGTCGGGCCGGACTTTAGAATTTTTTTAAAATATATCTAAATTTATATCAATTTTATATTGAATTTTTTATGTAAAATAAAAATATTTGATTTTATTTATCGAAATCAAACGACATATAACATATGTCTTTTATTTTGAGTAATTAAAAAAAAATTAATTTCTAAATTTAAATAAATTCGTGCAGATCACTAATTATATTATTTGACATATTTTTTGAACATTGAAACGTATTTAAGTTAAATTTGTTTATATTATTCAAAAGTTACAAATTTTCTTATTTTCGACGGTAAGCTTCCATTATTTTTATTTTTTTTCATCACCTATTTATTGATAACCATCTCCCGGGGCCAAAATTAATGATTATTTTTATTCCAGAATATTCGAAAGAAGTGCTGTTTAAATTTAATATTTAGAAAAAACTAGTTTGGTTACTTTTACTCTCCAATTTTTAGGTTAAAATCTTTTACAATATAAATATTACATGACATATTTCAGACAACATGAAGTCTCGATACATGAAAAAGGGCGAGGCGAACCCAGGCGAACCGGCTATTAGCGAGTACATCGTGCAAGCGTACCTCGCCACCTCGTTTACAATACTTTTGGGCATTTATTTTCCTTCCGTTACGGGTAATCTTCATTTATTTTTTTGTGACTTGAGCAATTGGATCGGATTTAAACGAATGGCTTTTCTTTCTTCATATTTGCTCAGATGCTATTTTATGCTAAGCATTCAATTTAGGTAATTTTCACTGGATTTTTTCGGAAGCTTTTTTAAGGAAAAATGAAGGTATTTCCAACTGCTAATACGAATATTAATAATATATCATATCGTAGGTTTGGGGACTTCTACTAACTCCCCCGTCCCACCCCTGCCGATATTATACCCCACAAAAACCTTACTCCCTACGACCTCTAAATGTTACCCTCCTACACTTCTCCTAGTAAAGAAAAGGAAAATCCAAATCAAAACTATCCACCTCCATCCCTCTAATTTTTTGACGATCAGCATCATCATAAATACCTCCCTCTCTCCCTTCAACTTCAATGGCCATCTTGGATCACCCCCCCCCCCCCCCCCCATCCACCGACCAGAGCGGAAAGTCCTGTTTAGGTAGAGTATCTGCCCCAAAAGTTAGGACAATTATTTTGTCAGATAATATAATTTCATAGAAAGCTTGAAAATCATAGGCAAAATATATTTCATAGCTTGAAAAGCTTGAAAATCGCGGGCAACTTTACACATGATAGATTATAAGATTCGAAATATATATTTTTTTTTAAAAAAAGCGCGCTATAAAATGCTTTAACCTTTTTTTAAAATAGAGATTTTGCTAAAAATTAGGATCAATGTAAGTATAAACCCTTGTTAAACTTCCTACCATATGAAAATGATTTGGATATAGACGATTTTATGGAGGATTAATTGTTTTTTTGGTTAAAATTTCTTCTTTCCGGGAACCAATATTTGCTTTAATTTTTTTTTTACTAATATCATTTTACAAAATTTTTCAGGTATAATGGCCGGTTCAAACCGATCCGGCGATTTAGCCGACGCTCAAAATTCCATTCCTAAAGGAACTCTCGCCGCTATCATATTCACTTCCTTAGTCTGTAAGTTTTTTTTGATAAAATATGATTTGAACTCTTGATAAATTAATTATAATTCTTAAAGGTACGTAACTATAAAAAAATGTAACCCCCCACCCATCCTTACCCCCACCTGTCATTTTCGTCTTATACGGGCCACCTTTCTATCGTTTGTAATTGTGTGTTCGAAATTAAAATTTATTCTCTAGATCGTACCTAATCCGCATTGCCACAAAAAAACATATGTGGAAATGCGTAACTCTCTATCTTGACCCATAAATCTTATTTCTGAATCCCCGCTAAAAATAACTCTACGCGCCCTCATAATTTGTCGCCATCTTTGAATTTGTTGTGGGAACTTTAAACGCCTCATGCATCTCTTGCCAAATTTCTTGATGTAGAGCGGAAACGATTTTATGAATAGTTTTAAACCGGAAGTAGGAACCGTTACAAATCTAGGAACCGGAACCCATCTTGAAATGTTAAAAGGCTAATCTTGTACGCATTTTGTTCAAATACGTTGCGATTGGTTTTAGAAGGTTTATAATAGCGTTTCGGACTTCCGGAACTAGACCCTTTTTATTGGTCTAGGTTCGAATCTCCGAACTTAGGTCCAGTTCTCGGTGCACTCAAATTTTTATTAACCATCAAACATAATTTCCTTTTTATTTTTTATCTTAAACATTGACGCATTATCATTTCCGTTAAGAACTTGCAGTTCTAGAACAATATTGATTGGCGCGTCAATGTCAATAAAGAATAATTTAAGTACATCATCGCAGGACTTCCCCACCCTTACTAATAAAATTTTAAAAGCTAAGAGTGAGATATAAAAATACGATTAAATGGATATAATCCACATATATAAAATAATTTAGATATTTCCTCGGCTTTGTTATTTGCGGCCTCGATATCTTCGCCTCTTATGAGAGACAAGTATGATATTTTTTTTTCTATTATGCTACCATGTCATGGTATGTCAATCTCGTCAATCTCTTTTTGCGAAAGCGATAGTGTATTTAAGATCACCGCTACAATTTTTTTTAAAAATTCGATATAACTCGATATAGTCAGTTACCGGAATCCGTTAACCGATACCGATATCATAATATTTATCGCGAAACGTATTTTATAAAGAGGCAACTTAGGACACTCGCCCTATATCTCTTTAGGTAAAAAAAAGTTAAAATTTGAATTTTTTAAGCTATAGATTGCGTCAAAAATATATGAAATTCACAAACTTTTCAAAACTTTAAACGGAATAAAGAAATAAGCTATTTTTTAAAGATAAAAATAAGAAACATACAAAAATATAATCCTAATAAATTTGAAAAATTTAACATAATTAAATTTCATCAAAATTTTTTAAAATTTGCTAAAGTTTTAAAACTATGCGAATTGTTTTTTAAAAATGGTTTTGGATACCGCCTTTAATAATAAACAATTTTTTTTTAGAATATAAAATAAATATTTGTAACAACCAACGTTCATTTGATCTCCCCTTCCAAAAAATAAAAATGTTTTTTGAAATTGTAATTTAAATTTATAAATAATTTATTGATATTAAATAATATCTAAAATCATATTATTTTTTAAATGTATAATGTTGTAATCAAGATTATATGATAGAGGGAGATGGTGATTGATGTTAGAGAGTGTTGTGTATTTTTTGATAAATTAATAACGTTTTTGTTTATTATTGTTTTAAAAGAGAATGTGTAAAAAGGAAAGAAATGGGTGTTATTATTATTTTTTATACGAAAGTTTTTGCTATAAAATTCTACCAGTGGAACCATAAATTCCACGTTTTACTCTACTAAGGAATTACTATATTATAATAAGCCTAAAAATATAAATTATACGAATTATTTAAAATGTATTTATTTACCAAGGTTTGGATCGAGTATAGGCGGAGGAATGATAGTGGCGAATTTAGGTTGGCCACATCCTCTTATAGTCACGATAGGCTCGTTTTTATCCACTATCGGTGCCGCCCTACAAAGTTTAACAGGTATACACTAACAGCTGTAACTTAGTGTTTATTAAAACGCAAGCCCACAGATTTTACTCGTTGATGGCAGAAAGGTTTGTATCGTCGGCCTAGAATTGGGGTGCGCCACTTGCGCAAATGTTTAAAATGAGAAAATCAATATAAAAGTTTAAAATCAAATTATAGGAAAAGCTTATTGATTAATTGACAGAAGTTTTTATTATATATATATATATATATTGGGAATAAATAAGTTATTATCCACTTCTAACTCAAAAATTTTGAAAATGTCGAGTGGAACACTCCAATTCTAGACCGACGGTATGTCTATTAACGAAATCTCTAGGCTTGTAATATACTATTTTTTGGTTAAAATATTGGGGAAAAATTGAGCTGTTTAGCAACACTACACAGAACATTACTAGAAGCTACAAAAATTCCCCAATCAAAAATGGGTAAAAACAAGGAATTTATTTTCTAATTTTATCATCTCTAAGGCCCCCTCACCCTTGCTCCTAATTTTTTTAAAAATTATATGCAATAGCAGCTTGAACACCACTTTTTGATTTTTTTTTTTAGAAAATCTAAAAAAAATCATCTTTCAGCACAGCTAGTGTTATTAAACCGCTCGTTTTGAGCCTATTTTTAAAAACGGCTAACTCACTATTTCAGCCAGAAAAATATTGCCTAAGCCTCAAGATTTCGATGATATATGTCCAGACCTTTGTTCCTTCTATGAGCGAAATCTTCAGGCTTGGGTAACATATTTCTGGATGAAGTATTGAGTTAACCGTTGCTCCGCTAATAATGGTTTTAGCGGCTAATGTATATGGTATCATCCCCAAAAAAACTCATTTCGTATTCGTTTGCTTAATTAGATTCGATACCCTTTTTCACACTCCGTAGTTTTCCCTAGAATTTGAAGCAGGTTTTCTATCAGATATTTTATATGCATTTTCTAGGCGCTCCCAGACTTCTGCAAGCCATAGCAAAAGACAACATAGTTCCTTTCCTCAAATGGTTCACCAAAACTTCTGCTAAAGGGGAACCCTTAGCAGCCCTTGGATTAACTTTCGTCATATCTTTGCTCGGGATATTCATAGGAAATTTAGATTTTATAGCCCCCATACTTACCATGTAAATTTATTAATCGATTCTTCTTTTTTTTTGTTTTAAAATTAAAATTTTTATTTTCCTTGTGTAATCGGATTTTTAAAATTTAATTTTACAATCGAGAGATTCATAATCCTCCAATTGATTCCATATCCCAATAAGACATATTATATAAATAAAATTTTTTTTTGTATTCGATCCTAATAAAATAAAATTCGAAGTATTTTTCGAATAGCACATATTCGCTAAGGAGCACTACGATTAACAAGTTCAATTTAAGAAATATATTTTTCTATTTTAAATCATTTAAATAGAATATTATTTTTTTTTCGTAATACAAAAAAAATAGGTTTTTCCTGATGTGTTATGGATTCGTTAATTTGGCTTGCGCTTTACAAACCTTACTCAAAACACCCAACTGGAGACCAAGATTTAAATATTATCATTGGTTTGCCTCATTTTTGTTAAAATCATTATATTATTTATCATCAACGATTAGTTTATGATTAAAAGAATATTATTTTTTTATAAAAAAATATAAAATATACAAAATTACCAATTTTAAAATATAATTATTTATGTTTTTATGGTGGGGGGAATTTGTAGTTTCACCTCTAATAGAATGAAGTATTTAAAATATTAATATTATAGTTTGATTTGGATATGTTTATGTATATTAATATTATTATTATTAATTGTTATTTTAAATTATTAATAGTATATTTCGATAATTTTTCGGGGAGTAATTAGTAATGATATAATTCTCTACTTATTAAAAGTAACGAATATTGGTATTAGAATATATATATTTTTTTTAAAGTAACGAATAATGTAATATCTAATATTTTAAAAGTAACTTTAGCAGCGATATGGTTTTATTTAAAAAAAAAATAAATAGAATAAGAGTTTAAGGAAAATAAATCTCAATGAGAGGTTTCATTTTAAACCACGCTTTCTTGAGAGCGAAAAATTCTATTCAAAATTTGAAAACAATAAATTATAAATATATGAAAATCACATTTAAAAAAATAAATAATACTTTTATCGTAAGCAAATTTCGTAGCTTATAAAATAAAACTTTACCTTAAACGCTATTTCCAAAATCTAAACCACTAATAATAAAAAAATGTATAGAAGTATTATAGAATAAGTAATGTACAATTCTACAATCCTCACAGAAAATATATTCTAACAATATTTTATGGCAATCGCAATATTTTGTTCGGTTTTATTACATTTTTTTTAAAAATATATCTTTGGTCATCATACTAATAAATAATTCATATTATAACTTTTCAGGTTTCTCTCCCTGATAGGGCTAGCTTTATGCGTGGCGGCCATGTTTATATCGAGTTGGTATTACGCTCTCATCGCTATGGGCATCGCTTGCGCCCTTTACAAATATATCGAATATTATGGGTTTCCTTTTTATTATACTCTGCAGTTTTCGCTTAAATTTTTTAGTTATTTTATATTAAAAAGGAGAGACTCGAAAAGTCTTAGCCGGGCCGGGGTTTAAAAATACAATTTTTGTTTGGAATTTCCGGTCAGAGATGCGAACACCTTATCAGTTGTTGGTATATAGAAATGAATAAGAATTATTTCAATGATCATAAATAATTAGTGCTGTAAACGTTACTACAAAAAATGAAACGCGTTACCGTTACTCGTTACCTTTAGAAGAAGGTAACGAATGGCGTTCCTTTTCTTCAAAAAAAGTAACTCATTTAGTACCGGCGTTACTTTTTCGACGATACTTTACCGTACTTATAAATAATACAAAAAATAAATTTTTCATTTTTTTTTCTGATCGTCAATTTAATTATATAAATGAAAATAGAGCTGAAAAAGAATGGGGTGACGGGGTCAAGGGTCTCCAATTATCTACGGCCCTCTTCTCCCTTCTCAGGTACGAGCAGCAGCAGAGTCTCGAAAAGTCTAACATGTCGTCCGGCTTGCAACACACCAAAAATTGGAGGCCCCAACTGTTGGTCCTTTGCAAATTCGAGAAAACCAATGGCGAGGGTATTAATAAGGGCAAGACCGTCATGACCCATCCTAGGATGCTTTCTTTTGCTCACCAACTCAAAGCTGGTAAATTTAAAATATAATTTTAGTTTATTATTGAGTTTAATCCTAGAAGAGGAAAATAAAAATTCTAACTAAAAAAAAATTTTCTTGGAAACATTTTAGAGTAGATTATATATATATATATTTTTTAAAAAAATTAGGGATATATAATAACTTTTTCTAATAATCAAAAAATAAAAACAAGGTCGAGGTTTGACCGTGTGCGCTACCGCTATTCAGGGTGACTGGACGAAAGATTCCCAAGAAGCCTATATAATTAAAGAAGTTAAATATTTTTTAGTTTTTTTTTTGTGGAGCAAGATGCAGATTATATTTAGTGCCAAGAGTCATTATAGTTTTTCGCCTTGTATTATAAAAAAAAATTTAAGAATAAATATTTTACTACTACCAATTTATATATTTTTGACAGAAATACCAGCCCTGTATAGTGTTGTACGGCACGTTTTGAGTCGATTTTTAAAAACGGCCAGCTCAATATTTCATCCAGAAAAGACTGAAGATCTTGATCATAGAAGGAACAAAGGTCTAGACTTATATTATCGAAATCTCGAGACTTGGGCAATATCTTTTCTGACTAAAATTTTGAGCTAGCCGTTTAACAACACTAACCCTGTATTAACAGTTGGCGCGAATTCGTGGCGAAATTATGCGTGTTTTCGTATACTTCGCCGAAAATTCGAGCTAATTTTGAAATGGAGTTAATATAAATAGATTTTATTAACTAACGGATAAATTTGAGTTGGAAGGGTGGAGGGCAGGGAAATTTTGTCGCATTCTTTCATCTTTTTTTTTTACTTCTTAATGATACTAGTGTTGATCGGCTGTGACTGATTAACATAATTTAGTTTGTAACCAAAAAACATACGAAAGAATTTATATTATAGTAGTAGAACAGTATTACAGAACCTTTGGTAATAGTTTGAAAGAGAGAATGCCAATTTTCTTTAAACACTTCCAATTCTTGGTATCCATTTCAAAAACAAGAAATGTTTGTAAAAAAATTTTTTAATTTTTTTCCCTAGCTGAGTATAAAGAAAATTAATGTTCAAGTGGGGGAGCGACACGCCGCCCAAAACATGGTCCTCAAATAAACTGTTCTCCCCACTCCCTTCTTCAACTGACGTTCTCTTACTACAAGGCCGAAAGATTGATTCATTTACATTTTATTATCAATTTTTTTTTATTTTTTTATTCAAACCTCAGAATTTAAGGAGATACATGGCTGAAGAAAAGGTGAAAGGTTTTTGCGACGTGGTCATGACTAAAGATTATTACACCGGAATATTAGACTTGTAAAATTATATGAAATGAAATAATTAGAATATTTTTTATTATAATTTTAAAAATAAATCTTTTTTTTAAATTTGGATGTTTAGCATTTTTTTATTTAAATCTTCGCACGTAGAGCTTTAAGCCCATAATAGAGTTCATGAATTTTAAAACTAGATAACAGAAACATAATCGAGACCAAATTTCCTATGGGGGTCTAAACCCACCCCGGATCTATATTTCTCCGGGTTAGAGGGGTTGTTCCCTAAATCGGTCCCTGTTAGGTGTTATGGTCTCAAAATGTCAGAACCAAGACATTTTTAAATAAACCCTAATTTGCTCTTCATTTTTTTCTCTATTACAACAAAAAAAATCAAACAGAGTTCAATTATCGGGTCTTGGTGGTCTCAGGCACAACGCCATTATGATAGCTTGGCCCCGCAACTGGAAAAGGATTAATAGTGTGGACCATGAAAACGGGGATAAGAAAGATCTCAAAGAAGATGGAATACCTTCCTGGAAAATGTTTGTCGACGTTGTCAGGGCCGCTTCCGCAGGTATCTTAAATAAATAAAGTATTGCGGCGACGGATACTATTTTATAACGATAAGAAAGAAAGAAAAGAAACTATATAATCTATTAAATTCTGGGTTTTTTCTCCTTCTAAAATGGTTCACTACAAATGCTCGAAGCGACTAAGCATGTGTTAGGATTCATAAAATTCTTGCTATATTGGGCGCAAAATTAAATGACTAACCAATCATTTTGTAAAGGAAACATGGCCATAATGGTAATGAAGGGTTGCGATAAATTCCCCAGCAAAAAGGACCGCATCGGGCCCGGTACCATAGACGTGTGGTGGATAGTGCACGACGGTGGTTTGCTCATGCTCATACCTTTCCTCCTTAAACAGAATAAGGTTTAGTATATTTAATCAATTATAATATATACATACATATTTTTTTATATCCACTAGGGATAATAGGGTTTCTGCAAGCTATGCTCGAATTCTTTTGCCTTGCACAACGTTATTTTGGTTATAATCTTAATCGAGCCGTTTTTAAAATTGACTCGAATCGGGCTTTTTAACAAACAATGGTTCTATCTACTTTGGTTATTAAATACATGTTGTTAATTTTTTTCTTTGTTTGTTTTAATTTTAAACAAATATTTTTTGAAAAAAACTAAGCATTCGCCATTTTTTTGATTACTTAATTAGGTGTGGAAAAATTGCGTGACGCGAATTTTTACGGTGGCTCAATTCGAGGACAATTCAGTTCTGTTGAAAAAGAATTTGGAAAATTTTATCTACAGCCTCAGGATCAAGGCTCAAGTGGAAATCGTCGAAATGGTAAATAAAAAATTTTTTGAAAATAAAATATATTTTTAAAGGGTTTCAAAAATTTTTATAAATAAATGTCTTTTTTTTTTCTTTTTTAAATTTAATTAAAATAAATTTGTTTGGATATTATTATATATATATTTTTTTTCTATTTAAATTTGTTACTTGGACAATTTAAAAAAATTTTTTTTTATATGTATATATTTATATATGTTAGCGTCAATGTGTTTTTTCAACTTTAAATCGTTTTTTGAAATGCGTTTATTATAATTTAGAAATTTAATTTTACCGAAAACGTATTCCAACATGTTTAGAATACCTATCTTATGAATTGTAGATTATTTTATCGATAAAATTTGAGTTATTTATAATCTGTATAAATAGTATATGGAAAAATTTAATATAAATTATATTTAAGTTTATAAGTTCATGGAAAAAATTGTTTAAAATTCATTGGGTAGAAGTAGATATTCCAAACATGATCGATTGTATTTCGGTAAAATTAGATTTTTAAATTTAAAAAAACACGCTCAAGAAATGATTTAAAGTTGAAAAAATAACACATTGCCGGAAAAAACACATAGAGGTTAACATATATATATTTATATTATATAAATTTAAAAATAAATTGTGGAATTCAATTAAAAAAAAAATATATAGAATTATATGAAAAAATATTTATTATAAAAAAATATTGATTGTTTTTATAAACAATTCAAATATTCAATCCATAGCACAAGAGCGATATTTCGGCGTACACTTACGAAAGAACGTTGCTGATGGAACAAAGGAGCCAGATGCTAAGGCAGTTGAATTTGAGTCGCAAAGAGAGTCTGGCCGTTGTAATTTATATAATATATATATATATATGATTTCTATGCTACCACACTTTTGTTCCCTTTTACAAACATTTAAAAGAAGAAAACCGATTTTTTTTTGAGAAGAATAATAACACGTCATCCTTCTTTTATTACATTCAAAAAATCTCCCAAAATTGATTTTTAAAATATATATTTTTATGATAAATGTTTAATCTCCTATAGGCTCAAATCTTTTTATTATTGTATAGTTCTATCCATTTAACCAATATTTTTTTTTATCTTTCACGCTATGATCAAAAATATTTAAAATCGAAACAGATTTCCTGAAAGAGGTCTGAACCCGCCCCGGGTCAATATTACCCCGGGTTCGATGGTTGCCCGTAAAATCTGGCTCTGTTTGATCTGTGACATCAAAAAGCCCAACCAAACAACTTAAAATTTTTGAACCCTAAATTTGGGTTCTTGGTTTTGCTACCTATTATTGAGAATGTAGAGTTTTTTTTCTACCCTTTACCAACTTCTTAAAAAATTAATCAAATTTCGTTATTTACTCACCACAATTCCAGCCTCACCACAATTCCAGCATTATATGGCATCTATCCTTTGATTTTCATCAGGCAAACTTGCACTGATATTTTTGAATCACTTTTGATTTTTAATAATATTAATTAAAAGTAAGGGTCAGTTAGCAGAAGATTCTCCTTCTTTTTTTTTAAAATTAGTATGATCTTTTTTTTCACTTTTGAAGCTTTTTCAAATTAGACAATGTATCTTTTAGGCCAGGTTAAAATATTTAATTTGTAAATTCAATCGCTTTTTAAAAATACATTCCATTTTTTAAAATTTTAATCAATCAAAAAAAAATCTGGTAACTGAATTACCTAATTAAGATATCGGGTCTAGCAATAAATGTTCAAATTCTAGACTAGACTTTACAATTTTTTGCCCCGGATATTTGGGGATTAAATATCAGGTCGAACGATGATGTTTTAAGAATCTTAATATCCTTATTTGAGTGTTTTTTATAACTTGTATTTATAATTAAAGGTCTTAAACCTTACCCCTTCCCCGGGCTTAGCTTATGTATACTTATTTGTGAGGAAATAAGAAAAAATGTGTTGGGGGGGGGGGGTGGTTGAGTTACGATAATGTTTCAATCCCAAAAAAACTAATCAACTTTTATACAGTTTTTTTTTATCAGACCTTTTCCTAAACCTCATTAAGTATTATTATTTTTTAATGTAAAATATACTAAAGGTTCAAGCATTCATAGATAATGCCCATGAAAAACCTCAAGGCCACTCTGTGTCTGTGATAAATAACAACTTAGCGGTTCCCGGGGTGACAAATCCTAGCTTGTTCGGTGGTATTAAAAGTGAACCGGATAATACCAACACCAATTCCTTCGCCGATAGACCAGGCCGTTTATCGATTATTGGTAAGCTTTACACATCATTAAAAACGAATAATCGAATAATGAGATATTTGTAGTTATACTTTTTTTTACAAATCGAATAAATATACCATTTATATTCGATAAATCAAATACTAACAACGTTATTCTTATATCGAATAGTAACAACGATATTTGTATAATTACGTTATTCAGAATAACATTCGTTTAAATCGAATACTAACAACGCTATTCGTATACGAATCGAATAATTGTAATCAATATTTATTCCTTTAATTATGTAAAATAATGTTACATAAATCGAAAAAGGCAACCAGAATATATTTAAAGCCGACCAACCTACCACAAATGATATCGAAATGGATTCTAACAAAAAGGTAGCTCCGGAGCAATCAAAGGGCCCTGATAAAGATGACGTCACGATCTCAAATAATTTAGACACTAATAAGAGGGGTACAAACCATCTAAATCTTCTACTGCCAGCGAGTAATGGCCATTTAACAAACGCTGTAAAAGAAGATGCGGATAACGCAAATAATCACGCTACGACCGCTCCTGGCTCCCCTTTTAGAGAATCTAGAATTGCTTACAATAAAATGTTATTTTTTTTTGTATATTATTATTTACTAAGGATATGAAAAAAACTAAAAAATGCTTAAAAATTATTCAAAATATTATGAATTGTGAAATTCAAATAATTCACAATAAAATATTGGTAGATTTCTGAAAATAGAAATGATATAAATGTAAAATTTCATTAATATTTCTAAATTTAATTTTATAATAAAAATCGCTTATATACTGGAAATCAAGAAGGTTGTTTTTAGATCCATAATTTTTTGCCTGATATCTATGCATACTTTAAATAAGTCTATGGTACATATATCTAAAACGAATTATTAGATTCGATTTAGAATACGCACAAGGAAGATATTTATTCATGATTTTTTTGACCCCTATTAGTTTATTTTCTAGTAGTTTTTTTATATGGAATATATTTTGGTTCTTAAAAAAATAGTATATTTATAATTTCCTAGGTTCGTGCCCCTGGTTCTTCTTATATTTGAAACTTATTTCTGTTTAGCCCAGAACGGATGGTTTAAACTATGGCTCCCTATTTGAAAGAGACTGTCACATTAAATAAATATTTGTTATTTATATTTTATCTAAATTGCCTCTTTCTTTTTAGTCAGTTTAAAAGTCTACTTACTCTTTTTAGGCCAGTAAAGAGGAAGCTATATAGACAGCTAAAACAGACCGCTGCTTAGAAATAAGACCGATCAGGACACGGGCCTTATTGACTTTATATTTACTACCTTAAGATGATTTTAATTTTTATGGCCCACTTTCAAAATTATCATTTTTTTATCATTTCCTAGCTCGGTACAGATTAAAGAATTTTATTTTGATCATTCTAGAACCTGTCCCTTTTAAAATTATTAGATAAATATATGGATAGTGTCACTTGATTTTTTATCTGGTTAATTGTTGTAATTTAAAAATACGGCCCAGATCTTTATAAAAATTTTTAGGCCGACTTGCAGGCCTCCGAAAATAGGAATTATTTTTAGGCGATGAAATGATTATTAAAAATGTACATTGTACTGATTAACAAAATTTTAAATTGAATATTAACAGCGATGCTGCTAATGTTAAACGGATGCACGCCGCGATTAAATTGAACGAAGCGATAGTTCAAAGGAGCAAGTCAGCAAGTCTCGTTATGCTTAATATGCCGGGGCCGCCGAGGAACAGGAAAGGGGATGAAAATTGTTAGCACATTTATTATTTATTTTTGTCCTGATTTAAGTTGCATATTATTTTAATTAAATTTGCCTCATTCTGGAATACTATCATAGTCAGCTGTTCTATAAGTTCTAAAAATATTTTATTGTACAATTGTAACGTATATAAGCATTGCATATTCAAAAAAAAGAACGAAAATTTATTATTATTAAATTTTTTTTTTTTCCCTAATAGTTATGGAATATTTAGAAGTGCTGACAGAAAAGCTGGATAGAGTTTTGCTTATTAGAGGATCTGGTCAAGAAGTTGTCACGATATATTCATAAATTAAACATAAGAAAAACATACCATATCCTATTCTTAACAACTACCTGAAGCCTTTAATATTGATCTTTATAATTTCATTTTTTTAAATTTTCCAATTACTTTGTGCCTCAAATTATATTTAAATTATCTTTAAGTAATCGCTTTGCACGGGGAAGAGAATTCAGATGTTTTATATAATGGTGATAATAATAATATAGTAACATACTGTTTAATTTAACATTTTTTTTTGCACTTTAATTTTGTAATTGATATATTTTTCTTAAAGCAATATTCAACGATCATTTAAAATTACTCAAAAAAAAATAAATAATCAAAATAATACTAAATCATAATTTTGTAAATTATTTTTACACATAATATATAATTTTTTAAAATTGTTAGCCTAATACGAATTTATTAATTGATAAATAAATATATGTAAATAATTTTTGTCATGATATAAGATTCGTAAAAAATGAAAATGATTTAAAATAAAAATTATTAGAATGCCATAGTTCCAATAAAATAATGAGAGAATAATCAGCGTACATTAATTATTTATATTTAATACAGACTTTATATAGTCTATGAAATTGATCAGGGGATGTAAACCAGAACACGGGTTCAAGAATTTTGACCTCTATTTAGTGGAAATTTTGATAACAGGAACTTATTCGAAATTTCCTAAAAGGGGTCTGAACCCGCATTAGGTCCATATTACCCCGGGTTCAATGAGTTATCCTTAAATCGGTCTGTTTGGTCTGAACAATTTTAAATTCCTGAACCCTGCACATCCCTGGCATCAATTATAAAACCCAGCTTTCAAACTAAACTTTTTATCAACAGTTTTTTTGGATTATAAGAAAGAAATAAAGACGGTAAAATGACTCGAAGCTTTTGTATCTTATACTATCGTGTGATTTTTTGCTTAAACCAGACAAAGCCTAGAAGCAAGAATTCTTGAAATTTAAACCATTATTCGGTGCTTAATTTGTTCCTCCAACCTTCCGATAAGAGGTGCGTAAGATGAATCGGAACCTATCCCTTAGATCTCAACTAAAATAAAGAAAGAGGGATTGTTTGGATCCCCTGATTTTATTTTAAAATAAATAAATTTTATGAGGCATAAACAATCTGGAATATATAAATTTAAAAAAAATAAATATAATATACTATATATAAATTCGATTTAAATTAAATAAATATTTTAATAACGATTCAATTTTTTTCTCTCTCTCTTCCTTCTTCAAATCTCGGGATATTGGGCAAGATCTAAATAATTGTCGAAACTTTCTCTGTTACAATTATTTCCATCCAAGGTAAAAACGTATTTTTGAATGGTTTTGTCGGCGCTGATAGCGTAAATATTCGTGGCATCTTCTGCCGAAAATGTGCACAAGCATAATTTGTCTATTTTTTATTTTTTTTTTATCAAAGAAAATGTAATTAAGATTTATATTAGTGATCTGAATCGAGACTAATTTTTCAAGCCCGGCCCGAATTTATAAATTATAAAAATTAATTTTTATAATTACTCAAAATAAAAGACATGTCGTTAAGTTTCAATAAATTAAATCAAATATTTTTATTTTACATAAAAAATTCAATATAAAATTGGTAAATTTAGATATATTTAAAAAAATTCCAAGGTCCGACCCGACCCTAATTATTTTTCAAATATTAGGCCCAACCCTAACCCGATTATTTTAAATAAAATTGGCAGAGTACGGGCCCCGCCTAACTTTTCAGATCTTTAGTTTACATAATCTTTATATTTAAAAAAAATATATAATTGAGAATGAAATCTATCATGAATGAGGATAGGAATGTAAAAAAGGATTTTGTGTCACGATAGCAAGTTCGTGATTTGGGTCCCAACTCTAAGAACATTATTTTTAATCACATGACCTGACAGATCTGACGCACTCAAAATGATAAAATTTTTATTAAAAAACCATTTTTAATATATTTAAAACCCTAACCCATACCTTTTTAACCATTAATCCTAATTACTTGTTAAAATTTTAATATATTTTATCCAATCAAACAATTTCCTATGAGTTTGGGTTATTATCAAATTTATACATTTAAGAAGTAATTAGTAAAATTCAATTTTATCATATGTCCCTCACCCTACTTTAATTTTTCAAGCCTTTTTTGACTAGTTGACATCAACCCAAGTTTCAAAAATAAAAATTATGTTAAGACCCAAGCTTCCAGTCCGAGTTATGGGGCTGAAATGGTCTAACCCGGGGCTGGCTTAAATTTTTTTGAAAACCAGTATCATAATAAAAGTAAATAATTTAATATTTTTGGAAGAAGAGGAAACATACCAGGGGTAACGGGAAAATGAGTCAACCCAGTTTGCGAATCGCTCATAGTCAGGATCATGGGATCCAATATTCGGAATTTGCTATGACTAGATTTGAGAGGCGAGGAAGGCAAAAGGGGCGACGCGTTACTCGACGTTGGTTTGAGGGAAAAAACGTGCACGGTTCCTTTATCACTGGCCGTGCAAACGAACTGAGAATCAAAGCTTTTTTTGTTTTCCGAGTGGTAGCAAAATATTATAAAAATGGCAGCTTAGGGTTCAAAGTTTGGTTTGAATTTAAAAAAAAAACCGGTTAAAACTATTTCGTATATAATTATTAGAATAGTGTATAAGGAAGCACATTTTTAAAATTTTATATCAACTAAAACCTATCTATAAAGCAAATGAGTATATTTTTTTTATCATCGCCGCATATAAGTATATCTAATTTATATGTCATAATAACGAATTAATATAATTTAATTAAACTACGACATAAATTTTTATTCTAATAAAAAAAATGGCGATTTATATTGGCCAATCAATCAAAATTGTTTAATAATAAGAGATGACACCTTTTTAGAGGTTCGGTTCGACAAAATTTTTAAACTGGTTCAGGGTTGGGAAAGGTCATCGATATTATGCCATAAAAAAATAACGATAAAAATTTAATTTAATATATAAAAATGAGAAACCTAAAATTAACGCAGTATATCCGCGCGGAATCCGACCCCCTCCTTAATTCGTATAATAAACTACAAGGTTTTCGGGGAGATTTCGTCATCATGTCCGAAAGTAACCTACCGTGAGCGTTTTTGGTTTCCCACAAACCAAAGGATTTTACCAAGCCGGATATATCGTGAATTCTGACCAGGGTTCCTTTGAGAGACGCCGTTGCCAGCAAGGTGCCGGTTCGGTTGAAGCTTAGACAATGGATTTGGCTTTCGTGGGCTTTTAGCGTGTGACTCCTAAAACTTTGAGATTGTTTGTTATTGGTTTAAAAAAAAGAGGGATATAATATATTTGATACTTAGTTGAAAGAACCCTCAGAAAATTCTTAGAGCCCTTACATCAGAACCTATTTTTTTCAAGTCCGATCCTATCTAAGAAAAAGAAGTTTTTCTGACCGATCCCCATAAAAAGAACAGGAATTAATTCAATATTAAATTGTAAACAGATGTTGAACTAGGACACCCTATTTTCGAGTTTGTTTTAAGTTAGGTACTAAAACAAAACATTATTTGTTATATATATATTTTTTTTCGATCTAAATGGCCTCTTTCTTTTTTTAGGCTGTTTAGAGGAATTCATATAGACTGGCTAAACAGACGACTTTTTAGAGAAAGCTATACAGACGGCTAAAAAGACGACTTTTTAGTTATATGGACGGCTAAACAGATGATTGTTTAGAAATAAGACGAACCGGGACACGGCCTAAGCGCTGAAAGGATAATAAAAAAAGGTTGTCGTCATTCTTCAGTTGGTAATCATTTGCATAGATTGTATTTGGAAAAACAAAATAATTTAAAAAACGTTGACCTAGGTCCAAAATATTAAAAAAAAATAAATCAAGGCTCGAGTCTGTGAAACTATCTATCCAAACCGATCAGAGTTCTATGGATTGAACTTGTCAGAGAAGGGCTCTAGAACTTAGCAAATTGTTTCCCAAAAAAGGGGGTTTCTGGTTTCATGCCCCCCCCCCCAGATATTTTCTAGTTCGGATTAGACCCAGTTCTGAGAGTTCCCATTCCAAAAACTCCGCTTATAAGGAGTCACGCCATATGAGCTCACACACACATTTCATTTAAAATTATTATCATTAAACAGAAATTATTTTCTTAATTTTTCCCAACCTCTTATCCAAATTTTGAGAATTCAAATCCATGATTTGCACGGAGCCTCGTTTGATACCCGGAAATGCCACGAGTAGTATAGGACTCGTATGTGACGGGGTTGGTTGAATAGGGGGCACGTAGAGAGTCGACAATCCAGTAAAATTGTCTCTAATGTCTAGAGAGAATAATTTTGTAGGCGGGTCGCAAATGTATTGGTAGATTTGGATCTAAATGCATAAACCAGTAAATGTATTTAAGAGGCCACGAGGGTGTGTCCTAGCTTTTGTGCTTTCTAAATGAAGCGAAAAAGTTGGTAGGAGACGCCTATTGCGGATTTTTTATATATACGTTAGCGGCAATGTGAGTGGTAGGCAGGGTAATTTTGTTATTTCGGCAAAGTGCATATTGCCGGGTTAAATCAGGCAATGTATTCTATTTTACAAATTAATAAATTTATTATTATAAATTTATTTTATATTTTTTTAAAAATATATTTTTAATTTGTTACAATATATTTTTTGATTGATATTTTTTTTTCTTGATATATTTTTTGATGGCTAATTTTTTTTATTTTTTGTGTTATAAGTTTTTAAATAAATTTTTTAAAATAATATTTTGATATTTTTTTTCTTGATATTTGATCTTTAATTTTTTTTATTTTTGATTTGATATTTTTTTTTATATTTTTGTGTTTATATGATTTTTTTAAATAAATTTTTAAATATATTTTTTTGATTGTTTTTTTTAAATATATATTTAAAATGATTATTATATATTTATATTTTACGTAATTTTATCTATTATATATATCTTTTGATAGAATTTTTTTTAGGTAATAGTGACAAATGTCATAATCGTTATTTTTGAACTTTTTTGAGTTTTTTTAAAGCAAATAGATAAAAATATGTTTTGTAAACATGTTAAATTAATATTTCAGTTAAAGTGTACTATAGAAAAGTGACAATTGTCATAATCGTTATTTTTAAACTTCTTTGAGTTTTTTAAGGTAAATAGGTAAAAATATGTTTTGTAAAATATTTAAAAAATATGTTTTTATAATAATCGCCCTCCTGATACATTTACATTTTTTATATAAATAAGTTATAATTTATCAATTTAGAAAGAATGATTAACTTAATTGACGGAAATTGTATTTAAACATCGGTCCGATTGGTTATCCAATTCATTCGAGTAAACCAGATGTTGACGCGCGCTTTCTATAAATTGAGATTTATTATTTTGCAAAATATTGAATATAGAAACCGGATAAGTTGGCAAAATGACTATGAGAACCTTTTAGTTGATCCTCATTAATTAAGGGATTTTTTCTTGATCACCTAAATATCCAGAAATTAGACAAATTATTTTGCTACATAAGGAGTTATGAAAACCTGAATCATTGTATATTCTTGAAACGATTTAGAATTATTTTCAATTTTCCCTGTAAAATGTTATATATTAATTAATGTATCTTAAACAAATAATATATACCAAGGTCGGGAGACGAGTAATATTCTTGCTGAGAGTTGGGATTATTTTCAAATTCCGCTGTAAAATGTTTTATACTAATTAATGAAAACAAATACTATATACCAAGATCGGGAGACGGGTATTCTTGATTAAGTAAACTATTAACTGTAAAATATTATATGTTAACTAATGCCATCTTAAAAATATATACCAGGATCCTGTGATAGATACTCATCTTGGATTAGTATTGTTTTACGATGAACTCATCGTTAAATATTATATATTAACTAATGCACTTAAAATGTATGCTAGATCCTTGAAAGATGATTTTTGATAGAATTGTTTTTAACTCGTCTGTAAAATCTTGTATGTTAATTAAATAAAAATATATTACCAGGATCTTCCGAATCTGTATAATCTACAAGATTTTGTTAAAAACTCTTATCATCATCCAAATAAGCTATAATATATAATAACGAATTCATCGTATAACATTAATAATACAGATGATTTTGAAAACAATTCTATCCAAGAAAATTATCTATCACAGGATCCTGGTATACATTTTTAAGATGCATTAGTTAACATATAATATTTTACAGTTAATAGTTTACTTAATCAAGAATACCCGTCTCCCGATCTTGGTATATAGTATTTGTTTTCATTAATTAGTATAAAACATTTTACAGCGGAATTTGAAAATAATCCCAACTCTCAGCAAGAATATTACTCGTCTCCCGACCTTGGTATATATTATTTGTTTAAGATACATTAATTAATATATAATATTTTACAGGGGAATTTGAAAATAATTCTAAATCATTTCAAGAATGTTTATACAATGATTCAGGTTTTCATAACTCCTTATGTAGAAAAATAATTTGTCTAATTTCTGGATATTTAGGTGATCAAGAAAAAATCCCTTAATTAATGAAGATCAACTAAAAGGTTCTCATACTCATTTTGCCAACTTATCCGGTTTCTATATTCAATATTTTGCAAAATATTAAATCTTAATTTATAGAAAGCGCCCGCCAACATCTGGTTTACTCGAATGAATTGGATAATGACGGTATTTAGAAAAATATATTAAAATTTCATGAATATTATCCTTTAGGCTATCCAATCGGACCAATGTTTAAATACAATTTCCGTCAATTAAGTTATCATTCTTTCTAAATTGATAAATTATAACTTATTTATATAAAAAAATATAAATGTATCAGAAAAATGTTTATAATATTTTTTTTATTTTTTTAGGTGCCATCGATGATGTGGAAAAAGAATCAACGTCAGACAATAAATTTGTAGTTTGTCATTGTAAGCAAAATTGCACAACTAATAGATGCAAATGCAAGGCATCTAAAATGTCTTGCTACAAATAAAAAATGTCAAAATAAATGATAATTTTCTATTTATATTGAATTATAATTGATAATAAAAAAATGAGTTGTAAATATTGTTTTTTCTATTGTGAAGATACAAATGATAGGGGTGGGAGAAGAAAAAATTCCCACCCATTTTACCAAATGTGTCTGATTTGGTAAATTTTATTTAAAATATTAAAGAATTTACCCCTATCAAATAACTAAAAATGCGTATATGATGTAACAAAAATATAAAAAAATGAATAAAAATAATGACCTTATAAAATTTGTGAGAAATATTTTAAAAAAGATTATAAACCCGAGGAAAATTTAAAATATAAATTGGCCAAAGGCCTTCATAGAGAGAGCCTAGCATAATTCAATAAAATATAGTAAGAAAAATTATCGAAAGGCCTTCATTTCTCGAAAAAAACTAGATAAACTTAGAATATTTGGTGTATAATCTTAGTAATTGTTTAAAATAAATATAAATAAGAGGGCTAACTTTGAAAATGCTAAAATTAATTTCGCAATTATATTCATTTTCGAAAAGCTATTTAATACTTTGATAGATTTAAATTTCAATAGTAACTCTAACTTGTAATTTCAGATCGTTCACTAAAGTGAATAAATATTTAAAATGTATTTAGTCACAGAATTGAAATAAATAAGTCAATGATATTATAGTTAGTTGATATACAAATAACCGATGCAGGATTCTATATTTAAATATATTTCGTAGTTAACATTTTAGGAAAAAATAAATTAATCTTACGAAATTTTAATTAAACATGTTTACAAAACATATTTTTACCTATTTACCTTAAAAAAACTCAAAAAAGTTTAGAAATAACGATTATGACAATTGTCACTTTTCTATAATTCTAATTTCTGGATATTTAGGTGATCAAGAAAAAATCCCTTAATTAATGAAGATCAACTAAAAGGTTCTCATACTCATTTTGCCAACTTATCCGGTTTCTATATTCAATATTTTGCAAAATATTAAATCTTAATTTATAGAAAGCGCCCGCCAACATCTGGTTTACTCGAATGAATTGGATAATGACGGTATTTAGAAAAATATATTAAAATTTCATGAATATTATCCTTTAGGCTATCCAATCGGACCAATGTTTAAATACAATTTCCGTCAATTAAGTTATCATTCTTTCTAAATTGATAAATTATAACTATAAAAAAATGTAAATATATCAGGAGGGGGCGATTATTATAAAAACATTTTTTTTAAATATTTTATGAAAAAATGTTTATAATATTTTTTATTTTTTAGGTGCCATCGATGTGGGAAAAGAATCAACCTCAGACAATAAATTTGTAGTTTGTCATTGTAAGCAAAATTGCATAACTCACATTGTCATGCTACAAATAAAAAATGTCAAAATAAATGATAATTTTCTATTTATATTGAATTATAATTGATAATAAAAAAATGAGTTGTAAATATTGTTTTTTCTATTGTGAAGATACAAATGAGAGGGGTGGGAGAAGAAAAAATTCCCACCCATTTTACCAAATGTGTCTGATTTGGTAAATTTTATTTAAAATATTAAAGAATTTACCCCTATCAAATAACTAAAAATGCGTATATGATGTAACAAAAATATAAAAAAATGAATAAAAATAATGACCTTATAAAATTTGTGAGAAATATTTTAAAAAAGATTATAAACCCGAGGAAAATTTAAAATATAAATTGGCCAAAGGCCTTCATAGAGAGAGCCTAGCATAATTCAATAAAATATAGTAAGAAAAATTATCGAAAGGTCTTCATTTCTCGAAAAAAACTAGATAAACTAGAATATTTGGTGTATAATCTTAGTAATTGCTTAAAATAAATATAAATATGAGGGCTAAATTTGAAAATGCTAAAATTAATTTCGTAATTATATTCATTTTCGAAAAGCTTTTTAATACTTTGATAGATTTAAATTTCAATAGTAGCTCTAACTTGTAATTTCAGATCATAATTAAAATGTATTTACTCACAGAATTGAAATAAATAAGTCAAAGATATTATAGTTAGTTGATATACAAATAACCGATGCAAGATTCTATATTTAAATATATTTCGTAGTTAACATTTTAGGAAAAAATAAATTAATCTTACGAAATTTTAATTTAACATGTTTACAAAACATATTTTTACCTATTTACCTTAAAAAAACTCAAAAAAGTTTAAAAATAACGATTATGACAATTGTCACTTTTCTATAATACACTTTCACTGAAATATTATTTTAACATGTTTACCCATTTACTTTAAAAAACTAAAAAAAGTTTAAAAATAACGATTATGACAATTGTCACTTTTCCATAGTACACTCTCACTGAAATATTAATTTAACATGTTTACAAAACATATTTTTACCCATTTACTTTAAAAAAACTTTAAAAAGTTCAAAAATAACGATTATGACAATTGTCACTTTTCCATAGTACACTTTCACTGAAATATTAATTTAACATGTTTACAAAACATATTTTTACCCATTTACTTTAAAAAAACTCAAAAATGTTTAAAAATAACGATTATGACAATTGTCACTTTTCTATACTGAAATATTAATTTAACATATTTACAAAACATATTTTTATCTTTTGCTTTTAAAAAACTCAAAAATAACGATAATGACATTTGTCACTATTACCTAAAAAATTGTCTATCATAAGATATATAATAGATAAAATTACGTTAAATATAAATATATAATAATCGATTTAAAAATATATATTAAAAAATATCAATCAAAAAAATTTATTAAAAAATCATATAACACAAAAATTAAAAAAATTAGAAATCAAAAGATATATCAAATATAAATTTTTAAAAAAATATATTTAAAAAAATTTATTAAAAAAAATCATATAAACACAAAAAATAAAAAATATAAAAAAAAATATCAATCAAAAAAATATATTTAAAAAAAAACATATAACACAAAAAATAAGAAAAATTATTAACGATTAAATATCAAGAAAAAAAATATATATTTAAAAAAATATATATTTAAAAATATTTATTAAAGAAATCATATAACACAAAAAATAAAAAAAATTAGGGATCAGAAAAATATATTTAAAAAAAAATATAAAATTTATGTAAAAAAAAATAAAACAAATTAAAATATAATATTAATCTTAAAAAATTATTAATAATAACGAAAAAATATTAATAATATAATATTACAAAAATTACACATTGCCTGATTTAACCTGGCAATGTGGGTTAAAAATTACCCAGCCTACCACTACCTCACATTGCCAAAAATATTCCAGCAATGTTTGCCGCATATATAAGATAGATTTTGACATAAGGCAACGTTTGTTAACTTTAAAATACACTTGAAGGTGAACTTACATATATTAAATATAACAAATATAAAAATCACTATTCAGAACAAAGAAAATGAGACCTAGTAGATGAAACAATTTAAATTTTATTGTATAAATTATTTAAAAAATTAATGTATTTGTCGAATACAATAAAAATAATAATTTATGTTTATTTAAATTTATGAAAAATAAATTATATTAAATGTTAAGTAAGCCGAGTAGTTATATATATATTTTTTAATTCTCACCAATTCCAACCTAAGGAAATTTTTCATTTTCTAAAATAGGTGGAATGTTTGAGGATAGATTTTCAATATGTGGACATCGATGATATCCTGATTAACAAGGTAGTACATTATGATTTTATACAACAGTATTCTAAAATATCAATTTTGTGGCCATAGTTGATGTGGAGAATGCCTTAGAAAGAAAGAGATTTAAATTATAAAGCTTGTTTCAAAAGTGTCGGTTTTTAAGAAATAAATAAAATAAGTCCTTACAAGAGTAAAATTAAGGAGTCTATGTCTATGGCATAAATCTTGAAGATCCTTGAATGTGAGCTACATATGAATATGGTGGTCCTTTTTTTAACTTGAACTATTAGACTTAAATTATATTGTAGATATAGAGTTTTTCTAATCTCTTGTGGAGTATTTTTTTGTGAGGCATCATTGATAAAAGATTGATAATTTTATAAAAAATAAATTGTATATTCTCAAATATCTTAATTGTTGATTAATGCTGCTATTATCCATGAGATTTATATTTAGAAAATTTGATACTTTTAAAAGCAAATTTAAATATATAATAATTTTTTAATACATCATTTTTTTTCATATTAAAATATATTAATAAAAATATATTATTTTGTTTTATGTAATAATAAAAACCAAAATAACAAGAAGCACCATCTTTAGGAACTAACTCTTTTTAAGGAGTGTTAACAACTAAGGTTAAAATATGAAAATTTTTTATGTGGGATAAATTTTAAAAATAAAGATTTGTAATAGTTCTTGTTGTTTATGAAAATATAGCAGAAGTTTCTTGCTGCTGACAACCTTGAATATAATGGTTAATTCTAACTTTTTTATTAATATAAATTATATCAATATTATGTAATTTTCCAGAAAATATTTTTCATATTTTAGGTTTTAGTTATAAAAATTTCAAAATATTTATGTCTCTGATGATTAAGTTTTAAATATTTTTTAATTTAGCATATTTAAATATATTTGTATTCAATTCAGTTATCACCAAAAAACAAAATTTTTAACAAATACTCTTTATTATTTATTACCTGGTTTTGAACTACAACAAACAATTTGTCTCGAGTGGCATGGATTTCTAATACAGGAAGGTTGATAATAAATTCAAATATAAATTTTTTTCTAAAATCATCCCACATAACCACAACATTCTCTGCAAACATGGGCTCTTGACCACCTCCAACCATTGCTATGATATTTGTTCTAGAAAGTGTTAATGTTAAATATTTAAAGAAAAACCTATATATCATTTCTGAAAATGCAATGCTTCCACAAATTGTAGAATCAAGATAAAATAATTCATAAAGAGGATCTAAATTATATATCCTTATGCCTTCATTAAGTGATACAATAAAACAATCCTTATCCTGATTAAATCGAATATCGTTCACTTCGTTATAATCTGACATTTAAGTTAAAATTTATAGATTGATCATGATTTTACATATGATGCCATCGTAAGAAAATAATGCTAAACCATGACCTGTTACAATTAATATTATTCATTTTGAAAGATTTTTACTGATCCTATTATGGTATTGCCACAAGTTACCTATAGAGGTAACTGATTAAACGTTATCATTAGAATAATTAAATTTTAACAAATCATTTACATTATTCAAAAGTTACCAGTTATATTGTAATTTAGTTTAAAAATTATTTTTCCAATTCATCATTTTAAATATATAGTTTTTATTATATGAAATAATTTAGCGATATATTATTTTAATCAAAGGTATTTAAAATTTTAATTTCTTTCCATATTCCTTTTTATTTCTATCTTCCTTCCTTTCTGTTGAATAAGTCGATAAAGTTGATTTAAAATTTTATTTTATTAACACCTTTCGGCGAAATAATTTTTAGTTTATATTAACGTTTTATTTTATCGTATTAAAATTATTTTAAAATAAATTTATTATTGATATATTTTTTGATATCAAGTTAAATTTAATTTTAAACGAACATTTTTATTTTATATAATTAGTTATTTCATGATTTATTTATTGTTTAAAAAGATATTAAAGGAACATTTTTTGGTTAAAGGAAGAGAAATAAAATGTAATTTATAATAATAAAAAAAAGCAAAATGTAATTTATTTTAATATGAATAATCAAATTGTAATTGTAATATTATATAGAATAAAAAAGTTATTTTATGTTAATTTTTCACTTTCTCCCTTAATTTCTCTCTTATTATTATTTCTTCTCTTCTCTTTGCCTTGTCCTTTCCTTTTCCTCTTTTTTCTTTTCATTTTCATTTTCCATTTCCTTTTCTCTTTCCCTTTATTTCCTTACATATTTCTTTCCCTATTTAATATCACCCTTTCCTTTTTCCTTTCGCATTCTTCTTCTGTCCATTTCCTCCTTTATTTCCCTTTGTCTTTTTCTCTCTCTTTACCTTTTCCCTTATATTACACTTTTTCTTTTTTCTTTCCTTCCTTTTTTTCCTATCCCTTTTAGTTACTTTTCCATATTCCTTTTTCTTTCTCTTTTCCTTCCTTACCCTTTTAATTTCTCTTATTATCTTCGCCTTTCTTCTCCTTTCCTTATTTACCCTTTTAATTTCCTTACCCTTTTCTTTTTTTTCTCTTTTCCCTTTTCACTTATTAATTTCCTTTCCATATTCCTTTTTCTTTCTCTTTTCCTTCCTTTCCCCTTTAATTTCTCTTATTAATTGCTCTTTGTTCTCTTTACTTTTCCCTTGTCCTTTCCTTTTCATTAAACCTTTTTATTTTTATTTCCTTTTACCTTTATCTTTCTCTTTTCCTTTACATATTTCTTTCCTTTTTCCATTCGCTTCTTCTTTCTTTTTTTCTTTACTTTTCCCTTTTTCTTTTTCTTTTATTTTTTTTCCCTTGCCCATAAAAATTGCAAATCTCGCTTATATCTTCTAAATATTTAAAAGGCAATATTTAAATTATGTTAATGAATGCTATGAAGTAAACAACACTCATATTCAAAATGAGTACTTATTTCTCATATTTTTAGCAATTTTTTAAAAAAAATTCATTTAAATACAAGAATTTATCTCCTTAGCATCTATTATTATTAATTTCAAATTAACTTATTTTTTTCAAGTATATAATCAAAATTTCCATTTCTTAACGAATTTAGAACAGAAACACTTTTTTTGCCTTTCTCTTCTTTCTTATTCTTTTCTTTGCCCTTTTTCTTTCCCTTACACCTTTTCCTTCCCTTCATACTTTTCCTTTATCTATCACTTACCTTCCTTATCTCTTTTCCCTTCCTCTGTTTTTTTTGCTTTCTAATTTTCCCTTTTTTTCTTTTTCTTTTTCTTTTCTTTTCTTTTCTTTTCTTTTCTTTTCATTTCATTTACCTTCCTTTCCCCAAATACATGGTACTTTATTTTTATTATTTAAATAATTATATATCTATTCTTAAGGATTCTACCTTTTAAAACTTGCCATTTCGTCGCACCTACCATTATTCTCACTGCTTATTTTCTATCAATCAATAAAAAATAATAATACGTGGTTCGCTAATTTATATGATTATATGTATAAGATATTTTAATTATTTAAATAAGATTCTACATCTATTCGCAAAGATCCTAGCTTTTTTGAAGTTTATTCATTCATTTCCCCGGACATTATTCCTTTTTATCTATGTATATTTTACTAAAAAACTATAAATGCTTTGTTATTCTATTATAATCAAATCGAGATAATAATACATAGTATTATATTTTTATGATTTAAATAAAATTACATATATTCTGAATCCTACCTGTTTTAAGTTGATCATTTCCATTTTGTCGCTCCTAACATTATTTCTCTTCATGTTGATCAGCCTCATAGGTATATTATATTTATATACTGGATACAACCTTTGCACGCTTGGTATGGGACTGAAGATGAAGAGACGGTTGTTAAAAGAAAGATTTATTGTTCTCGAAATTATATAAAAAAGAAATTGAATTTTATTTTAGACAAGAATACCTGTATAGAAAATTTCAGATTGGCATTGTAACATTTTGAAGTTTTTTTAAGGATTGAGAGATTAGAACCGTTGTCAAATAAAGAAAGGTTAAAACTAAAATGATACTAAATCTTTATTAAATAATAAGATAAAAACATAATCAAAATAAATTAATATAAATTAAAATTAAAAATTAAAGATTAAAAAAATTAAGTTCGTAAAATCATAATTATTTACAAGACAAATATCCTCGATTATATATACTTTTCTATAATATTCATTTACATAATGTTTTACAAACAAACTGAAAAAATCTTGAACTTTATTTAATTTGAATAATCATTCTTTTTTATTCATTTTTCTTTATCTCATTTAAATATCATAACAGGCATATGTATGAAAAAATTTAGTAATCATTTTTTTTTTTACAATCAAAACTGTTTAAAGGATTTTAAAATTATGTTTTTGTTTAAAATTTAAGTTAATTTGTTAAAATGATTATACATCTACATTTTTGGTTTTCTAAATAAATAACAAAATATTTATTATGTTTTAAAATATGAATATTGTGTCAAAAATTTTTATTTACAATTTTACTTAATGATTATAATTTTTAATAAAATATGAAAATAATTTAATGATATTTAGATATATCTTTTAAAATTGCCTTTTTTTATGTTTCCGATGATGGCTGATCCAATTTTGACAAAAACATCAAGGGATAACAAAATAAATATGCTTTGTTTTAAACAGATATACTTGGCGTAAAAATTTACTTATCTAGAATGAAATCTTGGGAAAAGCATAAAATATTTAATTTATCAATGTATAACGTTAGGTAATATATTTGGGCTATCTCATGGCATTTTGTAAATTCAATTACAATAATTATTTTCAGATCTATAATTTTAATAAAAAATTACTCCGACTCCCTGGGTTTCCTTCCAGAATTTTTCCCAGAAGGGTGGAAATTAAAATGTTATTTTATTTATTCGGTTTACAAACAACGGAAACTGATATAAAAATATAATCTCGCATAGCCACAATGACTATACAGAATTAGGAATTCAACAGAGATGGGGTAATGGAATTGTGAAATTATGAATAAAGATAGGTTTTAGATCAAATAAACGTTAAAGATTATTTTATTTTGCAAAAAAAACTATAATGTTCATACCTTATATTAACAATCAATGTAATGTATCAATATAGATATTTGTGAATCGATTGTGATCGCTGAATTTTATAATACATTTATATTGACAGCTTTACGAAAAAAGGGCTGGGGGTGGGGATGGTAGAAGGTTCAAATCGCCCCTATGAAAAATATGCTAGGTATACATTTGCTTTCAGATTTTCTTATTAAATTTTATAAAATATCCTCCTTAATTTTCTTCTTGTTTCTATAGAATTAATATCAGAAAATAATTTTTTTTCCATTTAAGTATTAAATATGGATAAAATTGGGTTCTTTCCAAAAGAATTTAGTTGAGGATGGCCTGCCCCTAGGAAACTCTACCTTTGAAGGAAATTTCCAAGTACAGAGCTCATTTATTATATTAGTTTTAATTTTTTTTTCAGCAATGTAACAACAATATATCGCGAATGCTTATTGTAGCGTGCGTAATCGTGAATCCACATTCGTAAATACTATTCTGAGAAGAACATATAGCAAATTTTTTTTTACAGCACAAGCTTTACCGCGAATTCTTTAGAGACAAGAACACCTAATGAAAATTTTATAACCATATCATTATCACAAATCGCGAAGACAATATCATAAATGCTTATAGTGCTTAATAATAGAGACTAATTTTATTTTGAAATATTTATTGTTAAAGACATAGATTATTTCAATGATAAAAGTGTTGTAGTTTTGTATTTTTGTTATATATTTATATATAAATGTTGGAGGAAGCATTTGTCTTCAGATATAATGTATTTGATTTAATTGTTGCGTTATATACTTTTTGTTTTTGAATTCTTTTTGTTTTTGAATTTTTTATAATCTAATTTTTATTATTTACTATAATCTAATTTTTGTTATTTGTTATAATCTAATTTTATTTTATAAACGGCGTAACCTTACTTTTTTAATATTATTTTACTTTTTTATATTTCGTTTATATTCTAATTTGGACTTATAAAAAATGTATATAATAGAAGTGTGAAATGGAAAAAATAGTATTAATATATTTAATAAAGTTAATAAAACATATTTATTATTTACCGGCACATAATTAATGTTACACTACATTAATGAAGAATAAAATTATATATATGATATTATTAATAATTGTTCATTTTAAAATTCAGGTTTTAAATATGAAGTTTCATCTTTTAACAAAAAGATTTTAATTTTTTTTTTACCATTAATAAATTAATACATTTTATGCTAACTTGTGCGATTACTCCGAGTGCTATTTGAATATTAAAGCAGGCTTTAATAATAATTGAATTAATTCGAGCTAGTTAATCTTATCCTT